CGTGTGTGTGTGTGTGTGTGTGTGTGTGTGTATGTGTGTGTATTAGACATCAACATCCATAATTGAGATGTGAACATTATAAAAATGTCTAAAAAAATATCTTAAAGATATATTGAACGTGACATAAGACAGGACATATGACATTTAAAAGATATCTAAAATACAGCCATGACATTTAAAAGATATCTAAAAGACATCTTAAAAACATCTTATATTCCAATTTCTTGTCTGAGTAGTTTTTATATTATAATTAAAAAATTAATAATGAATTAATAATGAATAATATTTCTTTTTAATAGATATGCGAATTAAATTTATATAAAGAAGGAGATTTAACACATTACAATCAACAACTTGTCAATTGTACTCTTGATCGCTGTTGGCGTGAATGTTTAGCATCTTCTTGTTATAATGAAAGAATAATTGAGATTCAACATTATAATAGGTAAGTGACTAGTTCAAACTATAAATTAAATTGTTAATATTTAATAAAGTTGACAATGATTTTAATAGAGAGAATCGATTTAAGAAGAAAGGAATCGCAATTGTACCTACAAAGTTTGGCATAGCGTTTACTGCATTGTTCTTGAATCAAGCAGGGGCACTGGTACATATTTATATAGATGGCTCGGTGCTAATCAGTCATAGTGGCGTTGAAATGGGACAAGGTCTACATACAAAAATGATTCAAGTATGAATAACATTAATGTTTATATTCTTTTAATGTAATATTTCACATAGCATTACAAATCTAATGAATCATCTTTTCTCAAATCTTCTCTAACCAATCCAAAAAGATAAATCTCTTTCTAAAAAGTATTGCAGAATGAATATTTGCTAAATTATGTATGATTTAAAATAGAGTGCTTCTATGGAATTAAATTTTAGAAATATAAAGTAGTAATAATAGTAAAAATTTGAAATTTCGTTTAATTTCAAGTAAACTTAAATATATAAATTAAAACTAAAAACTGACAACCACAAGTCTAAGCAAACACAAGAAAGGAAAAAAGCAATGATCAAAAATATGAGTTACTTAAAAACATATAGTCAATTACTTACAATTACTACAGATACTAGGTGACAAAAAGTGTACGCCTATCCTTATACATTAGCAATACCAACTAATACATGAAAATTTGTTAATAATAAAAAAGATTATTTCATAATTTATTAGAATAAAAGGGTAACTTTGAACGCTAACTTTTAATTTCTAATCGTAATATTAATATTTTATTATTACAAGATACATATAATAATTTAATGTTTTATATTCAACAATTATCGATTATTTGGTAACATTGCATTTTAAAAGGGATTGGTATTCAGGTAATTCACTATTAAATATTGGGAATAATCAGTTGTTTACGCAGAAAATCGGCATACTTTTATCAGTTTTTACTTGTATACAAGAAAATTACATGCTGGATGAAAAATTAATTTTTTGCAGGAATATAAAAACTGTAATGTTTATCTTTAACTCTAATTATTTATATAATTTTTATATAGATTGAAACATTTTAAAGATTAATGGAATGTAATATATCAGTCGTTCAATACATGCAATAAAATACTACCATGCATAAAATTAATTTTAACTTTTTTTTCTTGGAATTGGTTTGATATTTTAATGTAATATTAGTTTCACTTTAAATAATATTTTACATATGTATAATTTTTAAATAATTTGAAACATTTTTCGGTCGTATCTTCTCAAAAAGCTCGACAGTTTACTCCATGCGCCAAGTCTGTGCGCAACGAAGTCGCATAGAACGATGGTGAGACATACACAGCTATACAGGGTGAGTAAAAAGTCCCGGACCGGTGAAATATCTCGAAAACTAAACATTTCTGAAAGAAATTCCTACAAAAGTTGTAGGATTTTAAATGATCTATTCAGATCCGTGAATCGATCATTTAAAACTTAAAACTACCCTACAACTTTTATAGGAAACATTTCTTTCAGAAGTGCTTAGTTTTCGAGATATTTCAACACCAGTCCGGGACTTTTTACTCACCTTGTATACATAAATGTATCTATATATGTTTAGATGTGCATTTGTATGAACGCTCTCGTCGGAGTTCAATCCTCGTCAGTTCAGCATCCTCTTAAAGCTTAACAATGCAAACATCCGACTGGCAATATTGCCATCCCTGTGTACTGAGATCAAGTTCATCTGATTATTTCCAAATCGAACTCGATATAAGAAAGATTATTTCTGACAGCTCGAGGGATTCAACTGTGGCTGGCAACTCGTATGCCATTATATTGGATATTATTTATATTGTTGTAAAAATATAATATTAGAGATATTGTATATTGTCTATCATTCTCACTTAATAATTAATGTAAATTTTTATGTAAACTTTACATATTCTTTTAAAAAGGCATTCAAATATATAAAGAAATATTAATAAATGTCAATGTTATAATGTTAATCAAAAATATATTTAGTAAATAAGTTCCATCAAATTAAGATGAAATTTTTATTCGCCTAAGAGCTTGTCTCATCCAGTTTTTGCCGCTTATTATATTTGAACATTTATTTGAACAATATTCTCGGTTTATTACATTAAATTCTTTAAAAAGATTTTATAATTATAAAATAATCAGTCAATTATAAAGTAGAAATAAAATTATAAGAAAATTAAATTAAAAAATATTAAGCAACAAAATTGATATACAAACAATTGTATTTAAATTACAATTAATTCACAGCAATTGAAATATAAGTTAAATTTATTATATTGTGCCAGGTCGCTAGCAAAATATTGAATGTACATCCAACGAAGATACATGTTGTTGAAACAGCTACCGATAAAGTCCCCAATACATCTGCTACTGCTGCGAGTTGCGGCTCTGATCTCAATGGAATGGCTATTATGGTATGTATGATAATGACAAATCATACTTTGTGTAAATAGAAGAAGGCTAAATAATAAACTAATAAATTTTATAGGAAGCATGCAAAAAAATCATGAAACGATTACAACCGATAATAGATAGTGAGCCGAAAGGTACTTGGGAAAGTTGGATAAAAACAGCATATTATCAAAGAATAAGTTTATCTGCTACCGGTTTCTATCAGACACCCGACATCGGATATTCTTTTGAAACTAACACGGGAAATCCTTTTAATTATTTTACGTATGGCGTTGCCTGTACGGAAGTGGAATGTGATTGCCTCACGGGTGATCATGAGGTATTTCTTTTATATGTATACGTATATATACATATATTTTTATTTTAAGAAACATGTTAGAAACATAAATAATCCAGATAATCAAATCTGCAGAAACAGATTTTGAGCAGAATCCGCTATCAATTTTTGATAGTAAAAAGACAACAAATTTCACACAAAGTCTGTAATATCTGATGTTGGCAAATTGCCATCAGAAATATGACCTGCTGACATGCTATGTCAGCAAATTGTTCGCCCGCATAAATCCTATTCGGTTTTTGTCCCCATAACATATTAGCAGGCTTTGTCGGCAAATTCTGAGCTTATCGCATATACAGATCGCTACAGATTTGTAGTCAAAATCTATTTGAATTTGCTGTCAATTTACAAATAATTTGCCATATTAGCAATTTACAAATTCTTGTTATGTAGGAATAGTTGTAAATTTATAAAAATTTGAAATTTATTACAAGTTAGTTAATATGCATATTATAAGATTATATAGAATAAATATTATTCTTTAATCGATGTAGGTTTTGCGAACGGATATTGTCATGGATTTGGGAGAGAGTTTAAATCCAGCCATTGACATAGGGCAAATTGAAGGTGCTTTTGTTCAAGGATATGGTTTATTTATGATAGAAGAAATGATTTATTCATCAACGGGGACTTTATTGAGTAGAGGGCCTGGCACTTACAAATTACCAGGTTTTTCTAATATACCTCAAGAATTTAATGTTTCTCTATTAAAAGGAGCTACCAATCCAAGAGCAATATATTCCTCTAAGGTATTACATACACACACACACACACACACGCGCGCGCGCGCGCGCGCGCGCACACACATTATTTCATGTATTTTGATACAAAAAAATCTAAATTCCACAACTTACGACGCAGAATCCATCATATCGATTTATGCTTTCGATGTGACGAGATTCATAATTATGTGGATTCATTCATGGTTTGCAACTTTCCACATAAAATAGAATCCAATCCACATCGCTGCTTTTTGGTATGATAAAATTCATAATAATGTGATTTTACCTAAATCTACAATAATACAAATGCAAAGCTTTTTTTCTTTTCAAATTTTTGTTATTACATAAAAAGGAATCGAATGAGCGTTAATTTATTTATTTCTGAGGTGGAAGACCTAAACTAAACATTTACCGTTACCTTAATATCTTCAATCAATTATTGCAAAAATCGCAAAAGATAGTAGAGAATTTTTCCATTCAATATGATCTGTTTTCTTTTCTATGAAAGGTTTGTCACTAATTATGAAATATGCATAAATTGTTAAGATCTCTGAAGCGGGAGTTTACGCTGGTCAAATAATTATCTATTAACGCACACTTGCTTGACTGTAAGTGGACTGCGTTATAATTAATTATAGTTTTTTGAAACAGCTCTCTATTCATATCCATCCGTCTCGCCGTTCATGACTATTTTTACTGATATTACTACGCCGCAACTAATATATAAAAAAACGCCATATAAAAAAAACGAAAAACTATTACTACGGATACGATCGCGACGACGCGACACCACATTTTGCTCATTGCGGCGATTTTGAATATGCGCTTAACCTAATGAATTTGAGATGCATTTCGAAATTATAAAAAGTTTCAATCTGATTTAACATAAATAATACAAAAAAATAATATAACAGGCTATTGGCGAACCACCACTGTTCCTGGCATCATCTGCATTCTTTGCTATCAAGGAAGCAATTAAAGCTGCACGTAAAGATATGAATATTCATGGCTATTTTCGTCTTGACGCTCCTGCAACTTCTGCACGTATACGTAATGCCTGCGTAGATAATTTAACAATAAAGGTATCATAATATTAATAATTTTTAATATAATCTTCAAATATTATTTTTACGTACATTGAAACATTTATTTTATAGATTACAGAGCCTGATTTAAAACAACAATGGAATATAGTGCCGTGAACAAGAGGTAGAACAAACTTCAAGATTACAATTACGACTTTTTAAACATTTTTGGGATGAATTCATTATGCGGAAATATATTATTATAAATATAATATAAATATAATATAAATATTGATATATACTATTCAAATAAAATTTATAAAATATGATAAAATGATATATCTGTTATTATTAGTATAAATTCAAATCTTGTGAATTATTATATTGTAAATATTTTTGAAACAAAGCCTATTTTTTTATCCACCCTCCATCAAGACTTTAAAACGAAAAAATCTAAGTTAACCGACAATCTAGTTCGAAATGGCCTAGTTCGATACAACAATCGTGTACAGGTAAAACGAATCAAATTGAGCAAAAAAATTCTTTATTAGTTTACAATTTTCGCAATTAATAATGAAATTAATTATTAAAGATACCAAGTACATAATGAAATGAAACCGCCTAGAGTTACGCGTTTGCGGTTACTAGAAATGCGACGAAATATTTAGAGGAGTGCATCAGGCAGATGTCCCATCATTTAGTGGACTATACATCTAAACATCTCGTTGCGCTTTTAACAATTGCAAATACGTGTAACATGTTGGGCGGTAACATTTTGCGCTTGCATTCATCAATGGGCCAAGCAGATATATATTTGGCAATTTTTAATAAATAATTTATTGCCAGTTGCAAAAATCGTAAAATAGTCGAGGACTTTTCTACTGTTTGATACGATTTACCTGCATACAAGTGTTGTACCCTTTCGAATCAGATCTTTGTATATGTATTCTTGTTTAAATTACTTAAATGTTTTATTTTATAAATATTTTTAATATTAGTATCCATGCATTATTAATAGCACACAAATATAAACTTTTTTATTTAAACATTTAATTATGTGTATTTAATTACTTTTATTAACAACCTACCAATATAAACTAAACATTGCTTATTCCAGATTTTTCTACAGTTTCCAGCAATGTTTGTAGATTAGTTTCAAATAGTTCACATCGAATAGGCATTTCGAGTGCATAAAATGGATTTTTTAATGCATAATCTGCATACAAGTCATATACTCTCTTCAACAGAATTTCCATTCCTGGCTGTGATGGTTCTGCTACTATAATAAACTTAATACCTGTCAATGTTTGGAAGCAATATAAACGAAATGTATCTGCTTCAAGAATTTCAATTCCAGAACTTCGTGGTTCTGGACTTAATTGGCTTGCTATTGCAAAGAGAGGGTAAAACATTGAAGCTAAAAATATTTTCTCATTTGTCGTCATTTTTGCTCTATTAAACTTCAATGTTATAGGGAAACTTTCTGGTTGCTCTAATATCTCTAAAATATCTCTTCCATCTTCAAGTTCACGTCCTGTGACTGCAATTCCATTTACAGCTGTCAATACATGTCCCACTGAAAAATATTTAATCATTTGTTTGTTTCTTTTATAATATCTAAAATAATGGTAAATTAAAAAAATTTTTTCAGTTTTGATGACTCTGATCTTAATGTGTTCTACAGAGTTTATTTCTGAACAATATATCCTTGGAATCAAACAATATTTTCTCTTTCTTGAGATATTTTAAGTTAAAGATACATAGCAAAAATTAAATGGAGACTTGTAAAATGTTTTCAAATGTTATTCTTTTATATATCAGTATTATTTATTGTTTATCTAGTGTGAATGTTATATAATATATAGGTATGGGTATGTAGAAAAAAAAGCCTATTAAAATTTCAAATAAAAATTAAATTTGTATAAAAGCTTTTCAGGATGTAGAAGAAGAAACCCTTAAGCAGATTATCCAAGCTGTGTCTTTTTCTAAATATTTAGTGATACTTTATTATAAGAATATACTATGTGAAAGAAAAATAATAAAATTCTGTTACTTGATATATTTTAAGAAACATTTCTTTTTATTGACGTAATAGTTTTGTGTTAGTTAATAAATATTATAAATTCAAATCTAGTTTTAATTAATCTTAGATTTTGTAACAATAGCTTTAATACATTGTAATTTTTATAACTTACTTTTTTATATTTCAATACATTGGCACTTTTCAATAGCTTATTTTGTTCGTCTAATAATTATTAATTTGTTTTCAAAATTCTAATATTTGAATATTATGTATAACTTCCTGTAATATTTATGATTAATTTATCTATTATTTGTAATAATATATTGGATAAATATATTATATAAGTATAAAAAGTCAACAAACATTACATATTATATTTTAGGAAATAGAAGAGAGAAATGTTTAAGGATGTCAATG